GGGGGGGGGGGGGGGGGGGGGGGGGGGGGGGGGGGGGGGGGGGGGGGGGGGGGGGGGGGGACTCCGCCCCCTACAAAAAAACGCACTTCTGTTCAGCTTGGGAGGGGGTTGGGAGCACTGCAGATTTCTGATGTCATTGGGGTATCGCACCATCACGTTTCTTATTGGGGCGTTTCTTACGTTGTGGCNGTCAAACCCGTATAACAGCGGAGAGCATATGGTTGTCCGCGATGTGTGGCAGTACTACAGTACAGCACTCACTTGTGACCAGCAGGGGCGCGGGGGGGCGGGGCGGGGGGGGGGGNGGGGGTTGGGAGCACTGCAGATTTCTGATGTCATTGGGGTATCGCACCATCACGTTTCTTATTGGGGCGTTTCTTACGTTGTGGCCGAGATCGAGGTATGTTTCTTAGCCCTTTTAGCATATTATTCGTTCAAAGTTGAGCCTTTTTTCTTACAGAATTTTTCTTTATAACTGCCGGCGCTATCTGCATTTGTACGCGAAGGGAAGAGGTGGCGAGTACCGTGAGACGCAGTACCTTCTTTCGAGGACCATTCATTCGTTTACTCATGGAACTCAACAGAGCCGTAGAGCAAAGCCGCGGGGGGAGGTTCAGGGAACTCTTCGCGATATGTGGAAGGAAAAGCCATCAGGGTACCTGTTGGTCTCCGCCGGGACAGTGATATGTACTGGTGTTCCTCGGTGCGACGCTGAAATACGCTCGTTTTATTTTTGTTTCACAAGAATGAGATAAACGTATGTCTACTTGGACTTTCCTCCTTCTTCCGCTGCCGGCAATGCAGTACATTAGTTGGCCAAGTACAAACTGGTGTACTGCTGTAGTTGTTTTCAACACGTCCCCGACTGACTGCTGTACATCTCATTTCAAGTATTGTAAATATGTTCGACGTCAACAAACGGTTGCCAGTCGTCTCGGCGATGCTGACTTTTCGTACCACCCCCTTCCTTAGCAAAAGACGCGTAATTTGAGGTATAGCATGCCTCCATTGGCCACGGGGATGATGAGCTATCGTCCCCTGAATTTTAAGGACGCAACCTCGCTTTAAGGACGCTTTTTTTCAGGAAAAACCATGTGCGTCCTTAACGCGGGGTCGACTGTACAGTAGTAGGGGCTACTGCTGTCGTTGTACCGTGGTCTAAGGCTAGTTATTAACGCAACGGAAAAGCCGTGCAATTTTCCACGGAACGGTCACAAGAAAACCCGACGTTTTTTCGCTTGTTCTATTCGTGATGTCATGCAAAAAGTACGTTTCCTTCCCTGGATACACGCGGTGCTCGGCACACAACAGGTTGAGCTGGTGTAGCTCACCATAGAGCAGCGGTAAAAGCGCCATGAGCAGCACCTGACACAGAGGACAACACACTAAGAAAGATCCAATCCACCCGGCCTGCTGCTTTCAGTTTTCAGCAACAACAGGCGCAGGGCAGAGTGTCGCAACCTAGGTGTTGCTTGCGATTTCTTCAGCTTGCCAGTTCATTTTCCACGGTTGCGACTCCCATCTTTGACCACCACCTTGCCCAAAGGTAGATGAGCTCAATAATCATATGGCGGCAGCCGCGCTGACGGCCAGCATCATATAGATGGCCAATCCGAAAGGATTAGCGTGTCGGAGGCCCCCTTGCTCTTCTGTTGCGTGGTGCCGTGGATTGATGTTGACGTGTCCGACCAAAAACAGATCATCTCGCCGCATTGTGTTCAACGGCATTTTGGTGAGGTGGCACACGTCGCTCTCACACCTTATTGAGCAGCACCCAAGCACCAAATACCCACAAAGCAGCACGGCGCCGGGAGATGGTATCATAATATATATTTTTTTGAAAAAGTGGGGCCCGTTAGGGGTACGCTTTTTGTTTTGTTTCGCAAAAAAAAAGCTGTTTAGAGGAATCGTGTGTGGAGTATGTGCGCACGAGAAAAAGAATAATTTTCGTGCACAGGGGCGTGAAAATTTAGCCATGGCTGTCTGGTGTCTGGTGTCTGCGCGCCCTAAATACCCAGCAGACTCGAGCCCATTTCACCATCTCGGCACCAAATTGCAAACTAAAACTTGCGCACAACAAGTAATATTTTGCCCGAGCTGTCCCAACCGCTACCTTTGCAATCCGTG